AAAAGGTCCCTAATTGTGTGCATTCACGTTAATCCGCGATAAACAGCATTCTGCCCCCCCCCTCTTGACACAGGACGATGAAGCCCTTATTGCAACAGATCAGCTAATGGAAATCGCCAAGATGAAATGGTTATTTTAAAAAAACTGCAAAATATCGCGAAGATCCCATGATCACTTGACGGGATGCTCTCAATGTCTGGATAGAAAAGTTTACAATGGAATTACACCTTCTTTACGGCGCTTTAATTAATCGGCATGGACCCGGCCCTCCTAGAAATGAGCCATTGGAAAGCCCAGACACATGTTTGTCAAAATTTATGGAACTACACGATCACCTGTGAAGTGTTTGGCCTATAAATTTGTCTCCCGAATGGCCTGTGCTGTCGTTGATTTCAATCAGAACAGGGGACGCATGGACCTATGGCATGGGTCCTACGAGAAGCGCTAGGTCTAAGTGAGTTCTTAAGTACTGATGTGCATGCGCAAATGGCATACACTGGACGAGGACTCACGTCCCGTCTAACAGCCTCTGAGAGGCCACTGGTGCAAGTAGGTGAGGTGCTGATACCGAGATGACACTTTTCATTACAGACCAGTGGATCTAGTGAGCATTGATCTGCGTGTTAGCCCTCGACAAGCGCGTAAACACTGAATCTCCTCCCCACTGTGCTGAAATGTGTCCCCAGGCGGCAAAAAAGCATGACAAAAGCTCAAAATAGGACACATTCAGATGGTCCTTGAATGCCAGCAGTTGATCCCGGCAGATAACGACGAAAGTATCGTCCACCTACAGGGCCAAGAAATCCGATCTCCCAACACCACAGACAGAAGTTCTGGGCCCCGTATCCAGATAAATTGTACCCGACGCTCTTGAAACTGTCACGACATGCAAGAGGCAGTGACGTGGTATGTGGATGATACCTTTGTCGTTATCGACCGGGATCAACTGCTGACATTCAAGAAACATCTGAATGCGGTCTTCCCGGACATACAATTTACGATGGAGGAGGAAGAGAACAATCAGCTAGCCGTCCTTTATGTCCTTGTATGCCGAAAAGATTGCGGCGGACTAAAGACCAAAGTGTTCAGGAAAGCGACAAATACGGTGCAAGTACTGAACTTCAACAGCAACCACCCCATTAGACACAAACACAGTTATGTAAGGACGCTCTATCGGCGTGTCAAATCGCACTGCAGAGAGCCGGAAGCCAAGATTGCCGAACTTTAATACATCTGAAGGGTCTTCTGAGTCGATGTCTACCCGCGCAATTTCGTCAAGCAGTTCATATGCAAAAGGAACGAAAGGCCTAACCGCACGGACACCAAATTTTGGCGAGTGCTTCCGTATGCCAAGAACGTTTCGGAAGCTGTCGGCCACCTTCTCGCACTACTTGGGATAGAAGTTGCACACAGACCGGAGGCAACCATTAGGCGTCAGGTAATGAAATCGAAAGACCCGCTGTCACGACAGGAAACGTCTGGAGTCGTTTATCGGATCTGGTGCAGTGGAGGACAAAGCAACCGGAAACCGGAAGACAGCTCCGAACGCGAATCACCGAACACGCTGCAGCGGTGCGGAGAAATGACGCCAGCTCTCAAGTTGCGGCTCATTCGACGAGATCCGGCCACACATTCAAATTCGACGAGGCCGAAATTCTCGCAAGAGGTGTCAATCGCGTGATCCGGGAGCTGCTTGAGTCATGGTTTACTGGCCCCCAGTCTATTAACAATGATCTTCCCCTTCCATATCCGATGCTGAGACTCGCCTAGGCGGAGTAAGTAGCCACGTGAGGAACGTTCAGGTGAACACTTCCCAACACCCGGGTCAGCGCGTCAGATGTTCGAGCAATCATCACACCACCATTCAACGCACATGAGGAGATTGCAGCAATTAACGACGCGAATGTCGGTCATCAATCAGCCAGCCTACCAAGTGCAACGATCCCTGATGAAGGGGGAGGGAGCCGTGAATATTCATAGGTATGCGGTAGCATGGCGACTGCATGTGATAAGTACTGCAGCTCCTTGTGAATGAACCACCCATATTTGCTTTTGTCTCTGATGATGGGTCCGAGCAGGAATCCGAAACGTCAGGTTAATACAGCTCTTGTCCCAGCAATCGTGTCTCCTTCTTCAAGTTACCACCCATATCAGCCTCAGGCTGACCAGTGTCACCTTAGCACCGACAACAGCCATGCCATCCGTTCAGTTACTGCATCCCCCCACACAGAAATCTTTCGTAAACATCGAGAACTGTCGGAGGCCCTGTTGCACTCCGCGACCGCTTCCTTCCACAGATAAGCAACGCAGCGATTTCCTCCACACGAAACCAGAAGACCGACATTGCCAGAAAGTGGAAAAAGATATTGTGGACAATCAGTTCAAGAGTGATTTCTACAACAACCTTTATTACACGTTGATCAATACTTTAGCAAGTCTCCAACCCCATCAACAGTATGTAGAGACGGGTTGAAGCCATGATTCTGCATAACAGTGGGTCTGCCGGAGGTTAATGATTTAACCCCCTCCTGGTAGATGACATTTAGTAGATTGACGGCACTCACCTGATAATCATTGATCTAGCGCGCTGAGCTGAGGGGCGGGTTCATTTCTTCCAGCAGGCAATGTACATGTGAAATTTGTTGCAAGGACTTCGCGGAGAAGAGACACCTGAAGAGGCATGTAGACAGTACGCACAAAGGCGTGCTCCTGTTTCATTACTGGTTTACCGTTACCACAAAGTCACTGATATGTCACACCTTGGCCTTCCTCTTTCTCCTTCTCTTCCTCCGTGGGCTGTCATGTTTACACAGTAACTTTGTTTTAGTGGAGCGTGCACATGCAAGTCCAAGAATGGCAGCTGGCCTAAAAGACGTTGTGTGAAGGCCGTGGCTTTTGATTCAGGACAAAGGGTTTGTAGCGTCGTTACAACAGGCAACACCGCGCCTCTCGATAATGCCTGCACGTACGCCTAGCTGCTTTCGATTTTGTCAAGCTGCAATTCTGTCCGCACCACGCAACTGGTCGACTCTCTGCCTGCAACATGTGAGGCGTATCAATACCCTCGCGTGGGCTTGGGGCCAATCAACACAGCCCCTTCGCTGGTTGGCTACACAGGCGGATACAAGAGACCACTGGTGTAAACAACTGTAGGGATGTAGAAGTAGTTTTTCCGATTTCGGATTAATCATGCTAGATCCCCTGGCGCGTTGTCGGTGTAGACAGTTCTAGAAAGCTAGCCCATGTGCCGTCATCTTGCAGAAAGTTCTAGAGGGCGCGTCCCCATAGGAGCGTGCGCACCAAACTTTTCCGTATTTATACGACAGGTACTTAGTCGTAATTTAGCTTCTTATAAAAAGTATGCATATAATAAATTAATATAACCATAAACTAAGGAGAATAGATCTAGCCTAAGTTTGTTTAACTCGCCCTCTTAAACCTACCTCCAACCAATCAACAAGTGCGGATTCAACCTTGGCGCCTGAAGAAGCTATAAATACGGGACCCCTTGGCAGGCTGCCGCCCTTCGGACGTGGGACCTTCGTCGCCGTCTTCGCTCAACCCCTGTGCTCTCCGCCAACCTCCCCTTGCCTTAGTTTATTTTTGTAATTAAGTCCCCTTTTAGTTTTTCTATGTACATAGGTGTTTCAGTATAGTAAATACCAGTTACCGTCTTCCCCTGTCGGGCCTCATGGATTTCGTACTGCGTCGGGTTGGAAACATTTGTGGCAGCGGCGACCCTGGTCGACATGTCGGACAATCTCGTCAGCAAACTCCTAAAGGAGTTGCAGAAAGTTGCTTTCTCAGCCGCCAGCGAACCACCTCCAGCCAAGCTCAGCCGCTCGCGGAATTTCGATCGGTGGGCCTCTCGCATGGAGAACTACCTGAGTGGCCAAAGCTCAGCCATTCTACTCGCGCGTGCGGCCCAATCAATGACTGGTCGATTATTTGTGACTTCACGCGATAACCAATCCGCGACCGGCACGCCATAGGCATGAATGTTCTAGAAGGCTCTCAACGACTGGCACACCAATGTCCGGACGTTCTAGCACTTACAGGGGTCAAGATAAATAAGGCGTCTTCCTGACGAGAAGAAACCCCTCGTGTTCGCAGGCGGTAAATAAAGCGTTTGCCTTCCAAACCGGCTGTTTTTTTGTTTTACCTGCGTTCCGGAACATGCCAGGAACTCGGTTCACACAAAAATAGCGTACTCATTGTGGATCCAGCCGCCTGGTGAGCCAGACGGTGCTATCCAGCACGCCTCCAGCAAGCAAAACCAATTCCGTGCTAAACCGTGAACGTACATGTTTGGTTACCGATAACAACCTAACAGTCGTTGGCAGACCGCACGTCCTGGGGCAGACCCGAACGGCCACCTTTACGGTTCTTCCTCTATGAGGATGAGCCCGGCCAACACTGAGAAGGGTGGGTACTCATTTTAGTCCTGTTCGATTCGAAAATTCCGTCTGAGCGTCGAAAGCTTTTTTTTCAAATGATGCAGATCGACGCCCGCCCCGTCAAAGCTTTCATCGACACAGATGCAACAACCTCCATACTTGGATCGAGTCAAATGATCACCCAAAACTACGTTCACCTTCGCCTCAAGGCCATTCAGGCTTTGTAACGCCGCCGCCGCTGTCACCACGTTTCAACGACCGATACAGCCGGTGATGGCTCATCTGTGCCCGTACGGAGTTAATCGTAAATACTAACGCGTTCTGAAGACAAAGTTGCCGTGCAAACATGATAGCCACAAAGTCGCGGCACATAGAGGCGTTGCAAGGCGGCCCAGAAGGACATAAAAATGAATTGTTTGAGGAACAGGAGCGGTAAACGAGTGACAGAATGGAAGCATACCTTCATAAATACAGTCGATATGCCTCAACAGGGTTCTCTTCTCCGCAAAGGCTCTGCCACAAAGCTCACATGTACGTTCGTTAACATCTGAAATCAAAGTATAAAGTACTTTGTTCAACAGATCGGCGGTATTTCTTTCAGCTGGTCCTTAGATTTCATAAATTAAATCAAGCTGATCCTAAAGGAGTCGAACTATTTTTCTGACATCTACAAAGAATAATTAAGTTATTCTCACCCGCGAAGAGCCTATCAGATAGTAAAAACGAAATAGAAACCCCCTGTGAAGACACGCTTGAACGGCTCACAGGAGCTGTCATGGACACAAAGCCCTCCCTGAGGTTTGGCCGGAATATTTTTAATCGCAGTTGGCAATTTACCAGTCACAGTCGGCCAACAGTGAGTGGTGAAACTCGGACTGCAGTTCTAATTCACCGTCTCGGCCGGGATTGAGGTCCCAAGTGAGACTGCAATGCTGACTAGTATGCAGCGGTCTTCCAGAGTGTTTCATTCGGTGCACGATGTTGACCTCCGTGGAAAAGCTATGACTTCGTGGTTTCCTTTATGAATTCGACTATATTTTAGGGAATAGATGCACGAAAATCACTCCTGATGCTAGTTTTATGGTGACGTGCGCTTGAAAAAGGCCTGCAACTACGAAACATTTTCAGAAATCATTTTGAAGTGTCCACAGGACTGCCAACGTTAACACCTAGTGCAACGTACTTCGGACAACAGACTTTATTTTCAAAAAATGCACAGAAAAAAGTACACAGTAGATAGCCTAAAAATTGAATTTTGGCCAGAAGGTCAAGCAGCTGGTCTAACACTACTACCCGACAGCAGCTGTGCATTTTCTCCAGAAGAGCTCCTAGCAGGCCTTTTGTTATTCGTTACTTTCGTCATCGGCGGGCTGCACTAACAAAATGTATTCCGACATTAGGGACGTCTCCAAACAGAACGATAATAGGACCGATCCGGACGAGTTCAGAAGCTAGGCAAAATGCTTCTTCTAGCGGAGTGTCGTGTCTAACAAGGAACCACTACCACCACCACAGCTTGGCTGTGGCGAGGCAGATGGACTGGTACTGTCTCATCTTCAAAACGAGACAATCTCCTCAACGAGGTGAATATCTCTCGGGTTCATTACAGTCAATTTGTACAAAGCTCGCACACATATGACAGTGGTCCTGTAAGTTCGGATCATCACACAGGCGGATCAGTTTACCAGAGATCCAATGGTTTCGACGACGCCACTTGTGACCTAGTAGACCTGAGAGGTACTATCGAGAAGCTACTTCAGTTAGAGCCAGTCATCTTAAACTGAAGACATTTCCGAGACCATTGCTATGTTCAACAGAAAATCAAAACAGTCGAATACGGAAGGCCCTGATAAGGGTAGGATTCTTGAGACGGTTCCTGTTGCGTTTTCCATGGAATCTTTTCGAAAACAAGTACGCTGAACTGCAATAGAGCCCTCAAAAGGTCGTGTTCAGAGCTATTTCCCCTGCCGTTGTCGACACCGCGCATGGCGCAGTCCAGCACATTCGCGGAAGTGAGTAGTCATACTTATTTTGGATGTGGTCATCACTAGGTGACGATATGTTCCCTTGACCGTTGAAAGCAGGTATTTGAGACGACTAAGGGTTTAGAGCGACGAAATTAATAAGGTCTTCTCTGTTCATTCAGTCAGCTGCCATGGTGCAGTGACCCCTTCGAGCATATAATTAGAATTTAGCGACAAGGTAGAGACAGCATAAGCTGTGACGCTAACAAAAAGGACGGGTAAAATACTTGGCGACACCGATTCCCAGAACAAAACTGATGCGTTGGTCTGATCACCCAGAGCGACTGCGATATTATGACGAGGAGGACTGTTAATTATAACGTTTTGGTGGAGGTGGAGACATGCCTATTGGTCTAATACCTCAAGGCCGCACAAACAATATCAGGCAAGCGCGCTCTTGGGAAGCAGACCGCGCCCATATTGTAATGAAACTTTCGCATGATAAACGTTTGCGCTTCTGGTGCACGAACAGCGACACGAACTGCGCAGTTTTTGCTTCCTTCTGAGGTTGAACTGCATATTTGCTATGTGGTGCAATGGCGGACATCAGGACGTGTCGGCTATCGCGGATGCCGTAGCACGATTCGCATTGGAGAAATGGTTGGGTCAAAGATGGGCCCTCTAGTTCTCAACACATTCTTTTGATCGGAGCGTACACGGCAGAGCTGCGGCAGTGGTTTAATCTCGTTATGTCACAACGTCGTCAATGTAACGACTGGAATTTCCTAGTGTAGTCGGTTTGCCAGATGGCTAAAGCACCGCTGTTGGGCTATTCGTCACATCTAAATTCGTCTTTTCATGGCCAACCTACATTTACGGTAGTTCCGTGGACGCGTGGAGTTGACAGTACATAGGCCTACGGTGAGGTTTCGCTTTCCGGGGTATAGATGCAGCTGATGATGCTTCCAGCAATCATTACGAAACAGAAATGTGCCATCAAGCCCACCAGCAGTGACTACCGGGCACTGTGTCTATGAAGCGAACTTGCCGCATAAGAGCACGACAGCCGCAGAGACGGTACAAAAAAACTCGCGGGACGTCTATGCGACAGTAAAGCGAAATCAGTAGATAAATGTAAACAGCCAAACAGTAAAGTGAAATAACCCTACCACAGTGAATATAGTCCATATGCCTCTTCGGCTGCCTGCTGCCCGCCAAATCTTTGCCACAGGGCCCATACACATGACTTCGTAGTGCTAAAAAAACCAAAAATATTAAGTCTTATTCCTCGCCCCGAAGCTAGAACACTGAATACCGATTCGGTATCTTTGAGTATAAACAGGACTTTGACGTGACTGGACGGTGCTTTACCAATACATCGCCAGCGGATGTAGAAAGCGAATGGATAAACAAAAGCTTTGCAGTGGAAAAACGCATAAAAGCTCTAAAATGTGACACTACCACATGACCAAGTCCTCACGCTAGGGCATGCATGCAACGATTCACATTTTTTAAGCCCCGATTAGGCTGCCGACTATCAGCTCTAAGGCAAAATGGATGTGTCCTTCTACGTGCCGCACGTCGGCACACGCCACTTCACCCCTGGCAACATGTTAGCTGCGCGAAAAAAGCGCCGTTAATGGAAACTTACACAAAGCGGTTGTAGAAAAAAAGTGATTATCAAACGGACCCTTGACCTTTGCCCGTGATTTAACAGCTCTCTAGAGGGATAAGTTCTAAATTCTTCCCGTTCGTACGGCCTTCCCACATTCTGCAGATCAGTTAAAGCATGATCCTCACCACTCCATGTTGTCTCTTGTAACACTTAAATGCGCATCTCTATAGAGGTCTGTGCACAAAGTTCCTTAGAAGACTTGCTCTTGCAAATCGACAAATAAAGATAGCACTGATGAACAGTTGACAGTCGTTGGCTCAGAGCGAAAACGGCTGAATATAAGTATTATCGTGGACGATAAAATGTCGATACTACATACGAAAGATCATCAGTGTTTACTGCTAAAAAAAGTACTGAATCATCTGCAAATCAGCTACCCCACCAACGCACCGTATGAAGCTCAGTGGAAAGCAGACCCCAACGCGTAATACAGGAAACAAGACGAGTGCTTATTCCATGAGCAGCTAAATGCATTTCATATGTCTACTGTGCTTATATGGGTGACTTCTATCTCCTGAAATGCCCCACGGGAACCGCATTTGATAATTCTCCGTCCCTAATTCTTGTCTCACTGTAAGTTTATACTGCTCTGCCAAGAGCCACTTTTCCTTTTCATTGTAATCGCGATCTTTACCCGCCCCCTCGTCAAACAGGTAAACTATAGGCAATACCCAGCGTTTGCATTGGAGTCCAGATTAACAGCAGGCATCGCTTGGGTAGTCTGATGATCAAGAATTTTATAATCTTCACTATTTATGGGAAAGCCGATATAATTCAGTTACGAGAACGGGGCCAGACCTTCCATCACGTCTCGCAGTCTAGACGGGTAGACGCTACTCTTGCCAGCCTTGAGGCATTGGAAGAGTATGAAGTCATGGCTCACGTATGAGTGTTGACCTTGATGACTAGCCGGCCAGTGGAAGAGGACAAGTCGAAAGTGGCCTTTCCGGCTCTTGTCTTTAATTGGAATACTTCAGGAGCTTGATGTTTCGAATATACCTAGAATACGACTTATAATACGGACTGCCGGTATGAAGACAGAAGTAGAATGAGGATTAATTCACTCTCAACATCAATGAGACCTATGCGTGTCCATGTTTGGAAAGGCTGCTAGCATTTTGGGTGTTGATTCTAATTGAGGAGCACATTTATTCCTGGATCTCAAAATGAAATTGAGGCGGTTTTTACCAAACACGCACCTGCCGGCGGATATTGTGCACCTGTGTAAATCATACCATAAGTCGATAATTTGGTGCTTAAAAATTGCAACTGAGAAAGTAGGCGCACACACAAAGAGCACATGTTGCAAGGGTGACCGTGAATCGTAAGATTAGGCTAGAAGAAGACGTTTGACTACGTCAGCTATCAAGTAAGTGGTCGGTGGGTAATCCTTCAGCAGACGGTATGCTCAACGGGGAGAATTTCATAATGAAGTGCCAGTTACGTCCCAACTCCGCCGGAAACAGTGTTGCCGACGAGTGACAAGAATTCTCTCACGCGGAGGAAGTGATGAACGCATTGGCTGGTCGGACAACGAAAGATTCTCACAATAGTCCTGGGCGCAACGCTGTTGCGCAAACCATCTGGACTGGTTCCGCAACATACTGGGAGTCAGGAATGGGTTCAAACCGATTTCTTGGCTTCCTGAAACAAACAAGCTCCGTGTGCATGGCAAACGTCACGAACAGACAACCATGTACCAGGTCGAAGTCGGCACACAGCTTGTTCGAAAATGTCGTAGATTATCACGCAAGTCTCGACGTATGTTGTGAATTCACCTATCGTGAATTTGTTTAAGAGACGTCTGGATGACCACCAGTTAAAAGGCAACCCGAATTCCCAAAGCCCGATCTGGTGGACTACTGGAATAACTATTAACGTGCTACCAACATGAATTTAACAGATGTTTTTGTGCACATTTGGCTTGACCCAGACGAAAATTTTCACGGTGCGATCGTAGTGAACGATTTTTTTCGCCGTTATTTCGCAAATGCCACAACTTTGTTTACATTTATTTTCGATCGTTAGTTTCATGCACTCTACACACAAAAGCTACATATAAAATTCCTGCAACCCGACTATTTTCAATCATACCTGTGGTTTAAAAATGGACTCTTAAGGGCTTCTGTCATTTACTCCAAA